GAGGCTCTAGAGAGCACAGAGGATTCATTCTCCACATACAACTCTTAGCGCCTTCTCTAGTTTCTCAGAGTAACGACTGCCAAAGGCTGCCTAGTGCCATGGGAGGCCACACATCCCAAGACATAACGGAGGTATTGCACCCTTGGTGTTCATTTCTAGGTGCCAGCAACCCACCGTGCTGCTCTTCGGGGGAGGGGGAATGAGACAAACCCCCCTTCTTCTTCCACACTCTGACAGCGTAGAAGCTCCCGTGGGGCCAATGACACATTTTTAGATCTGCAAAGAGCAGCTGATTAATGACACACTGACACAGTCAGTCACACAGATCACTTCTGACAACTCTGGAAGCACTGAAATGCAGCTGTCCTGGACAAGTAAATAAATTACAGCTTATCCGTTAAGGGGACGCTCTGACATGGAAATTTAGAGCTAAATCTTATGTTTACGGTAGACTAAGCATCTTTGAGTTATTTATTGAGACCTTGTTCATTTAATTTTTATTAAAGATGATTTTACATATGAGATTTAAGAATCATTTTAACAATAACAGGAAGACAAATCTGTAGCCAACAAGGAGGACAATCTATTAACAGATATCTTTGATTCAACTTCAGCATAACTGATTTGTTTAGAATGCCCATTATGGCTATAGTTATTATAAGGCTAACAGACAACAAAGGTAAAATAGAAAACTTCAATTCATTGGTTAACATTGGCATAGATGCTTAGAAAAGGCCATTTTTTCCAGTCATGTTTTGTATCATCCGTGATGCAGATCTCAACCAAATTACTTTTCCTGGCTGGCTCTATTTATAGTAAAATCCATCTTTTACTTAAGAGATGTTGTTGGGTTTCAGAAACATCATCTGAAAAAGAATGCCACCCTTCTTTTCTGCCCTGTCAAGCCCAGGGCTGTGCCTGGGGAACGGGCTGTGCAGCACAGGAGGGCACTGCAGCCCTCGTGCCTTGCTGGGTTTCTCCCAGCCTTACTCCCACTCCCTTCACTTCAGGACCAGGTAATTTTGCTGTGGTGCAACTACAGCTCCTGTGTGGATTAAAACCAAACACCTCCCCTGTGTGCAGCCCCCGGCTCTGCCTTTTGGAGAGCCTGCATTTCCCCTGCCTTTTGCAAGGGAACAAAAACACCAAAGAAGCCCAAAATTGTGAAAAGAAAATCCCATGAGGATTTTACCATCCAAACACTCTTAATCAATCAGGATCATTTGTGTATATCGGTATATTAGTTCTCTCCCAGGGTGTGTAGCATGGTTCCTCCCTTAGCTGGTGGTGCAGATGCCCAGGGCTGCACTAGGCTGCAGGCTGAGGGCTGGGAGAGTCCATCTGCTCCGGGGAAGGAGCAGCCGCTGGAATCAGGCAGCACATTCACTGCAACTTCATATTCCCACCACACCCCTCCAATCAGTCTTTGCTAAAAAGCACTAATTAAGACTTGAGCATTTTTGATTCCATCAATTTTCTGTTCTTTTCTTTATTAAATAGATGTTCTGGAGGGAGCTTGACTAATAACCGCCCAAAGTTTAAGGATAATGAATCAATGAACTTGGGCAGCCTCTGGCTAAGCATGAAATTTACCATGTAGTAACAAATGCAGCAGAGGCAGCTCATACATTAACCAACCCAGTTCTGACACCCAACTTTGGGAGCACGTTATTTATTTACTTAGTAATTCCACATGAGATGTGTGGAACGTCCAAAATGTTTTACAGAAGAAATGAAAACGGCACAGTTAATTCCCTGCATTGTGTGTGTGTGCACCCCTCCATCACCCACCTTTCCCTTCGGTGTGTCACATACCTGGCAGTAGGCAATTCTGCTTTTTCCTTGCAAGGTGTTGGCATCTTGAAGGTGATCCATGTGGTGTAAAACCTGCTTTTGTTCCACATATTTTTACATGTGCATGGCTCTAACATTAGATCTATTACGCTGTTGTAAATCCATTCATTTTTGTTGAAATCCATTAACTTGCAGTGAATTTATAGCAGTATAACTGTGAGCAAACTATGGCTGATGGCACAGGCTGGAAATATTACAAGGAAAAGTGCAAAGTTCTATTGATTTTCTCTCAGGAAAAATGTGTGTTTCCTTATGATTATATTACAGATGACTCAGCTCTGGTCCCTAGCAGCCATCGCTCACGCTTCCCAGCTCAGCCGTTACTGGCATTGCAGGCGTGCTGTCTCCTGCTGCAAGGAGCAGGGGCTGGGGGCTGCCTCCCCCCGCTGCCTGGGGACACGGCCAGCCTACTGCCAGTCAGTGCTGGAGGAGCTCCTGCCTGGCTCCATGCTGGTCTGCTCTGTCTCTCCACGGCTCTGCAGTCCGAGCACTCGCTCCTAATCGATTCTGACAGCAGACACCAGTAGGAATGCTGAGATTTATGAAAGAGCAAGAATTGCCACTAGCCTCTGTCCATTAAGGGTACAGCAAAAACTGCCTTTGCCCTTTGTAAATATAATCAGCAGAAGTGAGGCAGCTGCCCTTTTCAGAAGGGTGCTCTCAGGACAGATGTTTTAGCAAAAGCCCCTAATGCACTCACAAGCAATAATGCTACCAATCCTGTACTTCTTTTCCAACAAAATTTTTCTCATTCTTTTGAGTGCTCCTGGAAGACCAAATTGCATACCAAAGTTGCAGCCTCCCTTTTCATCTTGCTGTTTCCCCAAACATAGACCGAGTATTGGCAAAAAAAAGCTGAATGAAATGTAGAAACCAAGACTCCAAAACCTGGAGGACTCTTTCAATGTGTTTTTGAAGGTTGAGGCAGCTTCTCTTGGCAAGGCACTCTCTTGTTGAAGTTCTTCTGTTTGCTGGAAATGAGTGATCTCTGCATGTGTGTTCTTCAGTGGAAGGAAAAGCAGCCTACTGCTCTCGTTAGATTTCTCATCAGAGCCTCAGGTTGTTGTTTAGTAGTTCTGAGGTTGTACTGTGAGTGAATGAGAATAGTGGAATTGTTATTCCTGCAGCAGCATACAATTCTGATCTCACAGAAGAACAATCCGTTGCAGATTTAATACTTTTTTGCCTTCAGTACAATTAAGATCAAGAGGACCTTGTTAATTCTACTTCTTTTGCTGCACACAGAACTTCCAGGTTCTGTCACATGCCTACACAGGTAACAGTCTACAGTATGAGGGGAATGACAAATGCAAGATAATGCATTTCCTCCCATATTTTCTGCAAAGCATGCAATACGCAATTCAAGAAATAACACAGCCTGTTAGTGATGAAACAAAAGTATCAGGGCAAAGCAGCTGATCTCATTACCAACAGACCACGCAGAGGTACAGTCAAAATGAATAAAAGCTTCACTGTTCACTCCTAGACAGGCTCTGCAAATTCAAGTTTCAGCTGTTTATTCAGATAAATTTAGACAGATATATTTCTTCCTCTTATAAAAAAATTTGTTAGGGTTTTTTCTCTTAGAAGGAAGACAGATCACTGAAAAACACTTACTGCCCTTGAGAAAAAGCAGCAGTGATGAGCTCACCAGGACGCACAGTTCAAACCTGGGCAGGTTTCCCTTCCATCACCAGCCATTACTCAAAAGCTCAGTGCTCCTGTGACATCGCAGGCTCCGCACAGAGCCCCGCCTTCAGTAGTTGTCCTTGAACAAGTTTCCAGACAAGAATTAAATGTCAGAGTTAATTGTGGCAGGGACCAGCACTCCAGTCTCTTCTTCTACCTGTCTTTTCCTTTCACGCTGTGAAGCGCTCTCCCTGCCCTGCACACATGGGCAGGATGGAGCTGGGCACCAGCTCACACGGGAACCTCCTGGCTTGCAGCAGATAACTCCCCCACATCCTTCTGTACAGCACTTCTGCTTTCGGTGAGATGATGATGGATTATTCCCCAATCCAGAAGATACAACAGGAATTAAGAGGATGAAAATTCTTATAAAAAAATTTATCACCTGCAGATCCCTACAGTGAGTGTGCCCCAGAGCAGGAGGGCTTCTTATTGTGACAGTGCAGCAGCACGCAGGGAACACAGACGTGTTTTGGTCTCATGCTTATGAGATGTGGGCACACAATTCCCTCATTATGACTGGCAGTCCTAGGAAAAGCAAATGCTGGCCATATGAGAAACTGAAACCCCTTTCCTACCCTCTCCTAGAAGGGGAGCACGAGCTGAGGCAGCCGGCACGTCCTGCTTTTGCTCCACGCCTTCTGCTGACAGTCTGCTGGCACTGTAGCTGTCTCTTTACCATTTCCACAACGAAGGTCCTTTCTAGAATGCCACATAAATGACAGGATAAGAACCACAGTCAGGCACAGGAGATTTCAAAGTGCTTCAATAAATGCAGCTAAAGAAAGTTGTGATTCCTTGCCAGGTTATCCCATTATACTCAAAACAACAGGCATTTTGAATAAAAACAGTAATTAACCTCTGTATTTACTGTAGAAAAGCATTTGGTTCATAAGAAGAAACTCTCTTGTTAAGAAAAAACATACAACTATGTAATCTTAAAAAACTGAATATATTTTAAACCAGTACTGGAACAAAGTCTGGACAAAGTTCCAGAAGAACTTACTTACCTTGGAAGCGTCAGGCTGGCACCCAGAGCCCACGCTGCACTACGTGCCCCAGCCCACCAGCAGGACACAGCCGTGCCGTGCTACAGCTGCCAGCACGCAGCAGCACGGGGCTGTGTGAGTGCAGTCAGTTCATCTGCTGTGCACCCTTCTCATCTTCTGTGCTGTGACGAGTTAGGGAATGGGACACAGCCACAAATCCTCCTTCAGAACACGGGGAAAGTCACACACGGCTGCAGAAACTTTATTTCAAAATCTTTTTTATTCAACTGTTATTCAGCAATATACAATACAGTTTATAAACAAATGTCTTACCTTGTTTCCAATCTTCATTTAAAAATAAATATTATCAGCAGTGCCTATTAATTATGGTAAGATGTACCTTTTCAATTAAAATGTCTCCAAAAGAAATAATTTAATTAAAAAAAAAAAAAAGAAAAAAAGAAAAAGGAAATTCAGAAAAACTAAACACAATCTACTAAAAATATTTCCTTTCTTAGGAAGGGTTTTGACCCAGCATCTTTACATACTGTCATAAAGATAACTGCTCAACAGTTCGTGCAAAATGAAGAGTCTGAAGAGTCAGAGGAAAGGTTTAGAAAAGAAAAATATTACATTAAAATAGAGAAACCATAGGTGCCGTGCACAGAGCAGGGCCTTACACCACAGGGTCTGGAAACTAGATGCATTATTTTTTGTGGTTTACCTTCTGTGACATCCCCAAAAATATGTTTTCCCCTCATGTAGAATTTATCATGCTTCTTTCAGTCTCTTTCTGTCCATCCTTCCAACTGTGGGTAATGTTTTGTCAGGGGCTTGTCCTGTTCTTAAATAGGTTCCTTTTGTTTGGCTGAGGAGTAGTGGAGGAAGTAGTCCATCAGTGGTTTACTAATAAATGTACAAGCTTATGCAGTATTAACAGGAACATGTATAGGAGTGGGTCTGTAGCATAAATAGGTCCTGTGCCTAGAAAAAGAGACAAGGGAAAGGAGGAGATTTTATTTTTTATCTTTTCCAATACAGAAGATTAAACGCAGAAGAGAAATACAGGAAGATTTATTTTTATCACATCAGAGCCAGGGGTCAGAAGCTTAATTTTAATAGTAAAACAGCATCCCCAAGCTATCCAACTCTAATAGCTTTCTCTTCCCCCTCCCAAATCTAACTCCACTCAGGTCATTTCATTATGCATCACTAATGGTATGCCTAAACTCGGCTGTGGCCAAGTTACCAGCAATTGAGATTTCTATTTCTATACACCTTAATCTGGTATATAGTTTCTTGGGAAATGACAGGTATCAACCACCCATTATTTTAAAGGGAAATGACAAATGCTGCAGCCGTACTCCTTGATTAACAGGACATGAACCCATTTCATTTGGAATGGGAACAGCAAGCCCTTGACATCTTCTTTACCTTTTATAGGAAAGAGCAGAATTTTAAATTAAAGATGTGCACAGGAGCTATAGAAAAACAGAGGTCAGGTGTGAAACACATCTGTTACAGACTCTTGGTCCTCACTGCTCGCACTCCTATGAGGCAAGCCGTGTGACACAGATGGGGTGCAGGGCAGCAGTGGCACACTGCAGGGGATGCTGCAGGGAGGGCAGGCACGCATGCATTGGCTCACACCAAGAAATGCCATCAGAATCCGTGCTGCAGCTGAACAGGCTGTACCTGCCTCCTCCCTGCTTACACTAAGATATTTGCTGTTTTTTTTATTTTCTAGTTACCTGTGCCAAAGAGAGAGGAATTTACTGTGTACCACTGTAGTCCAACCTCACCAGTGCAGGAGGCTGAGTCCTGGGACCCATGTGCACAGCTCCAGCTCTGGCAGCCATGATGAGGCCCCAACACTGACACAGGTCACACTGGGAAGCACAGCAGAATTCCCATGCAGAAGCTGTGCCATCCTGGCACGGCCTGTAGCAGTGCAGCAGGACAACAGGTTGCTGCCATTCACTCCCCCAAGCCCTGCTGAGCAGACAGATGAGCCTGGACTGGTCCACAGCCACAGGTGATTGGGTCCCTAAGTGCCACTAAGTGACACCTTTCACAACCTGCAACGTGGAGTTGCATGTATGGTTGTCACCAACACTGTGATGTGACAGCATACAGGGCTGCACACTGTGACTGATGCTTTGTGTGCCCTTGGGCTGCTTCCACCAGGGTGAACACAGAAGCAGGAGCCCAGCTGCAGCTTCACACCACAGCTGGCACGAGAGCTGCGTCAGGGCAGCCTGAGCACCAGAGTGCCCGGTACCCAAAGCACAGAGAGCCACCCAGAAAAGTGACCTCAGAACCACTTCTCAATGCACTGAAGTTATTTTTTAAGTGCTCAATGTCCTTGAAAAAGCAATTTTAGGGAACTCTCCTCAGGCACCCCAGTGCAAATACCTCACATACCATACGAATCTCTGTCAGCTGTGGTGTGATCAAAGGAAATACCTCAAGAAGTTCCTGAGAACACCACTGCTCAGGCTGCCTCATAGGCATGCCTCACTAGCACAGCTAGAGTATTATTATCCAATATAAAAACCAGCTCATTGTAACGTGTTGTGCAACTGAGGAACTCAACTACTGTCCCCATAGTGTGCTATCTCATAGACACCTAGACTGTGTAGAGATTATTTAGTTATTAAGGTTTTAATTAAATCCTTGCATGCAGACACATGTGGCAAAGGGCTGCCTACTTAGCAACAGCAGGTTATTAAGATGAACACAAGGTTTTTCTTTTTAAAGCTGAAAATCATGAACTAACACAATCAACTCAGGTAGCTAAAGCACCTAGTAAATTGTTGTAAAAAAATAAAATAGGAATGTGTGCAGGAGCACAGCAGCTGCTGAAGCTCATGGTCCTGAGTAGCACACCGGACAGACCATCACCAGCCCCCACAGTTGCTCACTGCTCAGATTTGCCCTCATTGCCGTAGAGCCCAGCCCTGAGAAGCTGAGCACAGGAAGGTTCTGTCCTGGAGACGGCAGGCAGGAAAAGCAGCCCTTCCTGCACCAGGAGGGCAATGCAGCGATGCCGGCAGCAAGTCCTCGGACTGCTGGGATGAGGCTGCTGCCAATAGGAGTGAGCCTTCCCAGCATGTTTCACGTCTGTCCTCTGCTGCAAACAGAACATTCATTGAAGCAGCAGAAGCTGAGAAGTGAGTAACAAACCTCTTTAGACATCTCTGGACTCTTTAAAAGTGGAGGGCAAACACATCAGGAGTCTTCAGGGTACTGTATTTCTTTAAGTACATCTCCATATTTGCAATGCTGCAGTGCCCCATCTCTCATTTCAGACCTGCCATGGGCACAGCTAGCAGACTTCTGGCAGGCAGGACATCGCCTCAGGAGCACACAGCAGAACACCACCTGAAGGGCGGCAGTGTGCACACAAACTACTGGGCCCAGCTGCCCCTTGCACACCGTGACTCCGTGCAATTCCCTTTGCTTCCCTATCACCAGTGCAGAACACCAACAAACTGTCCACGTACCAACACAACCCTGAGACAAAGCGGTGTCCTGGTGACACTGGCTGCAGCCTGGCGTTTTGGAGGGCACATGGCTCTGGTGGCGTGCTCTTCAGGGAAGGATCTGAGCTCTCAGCTCGAGCAAGAACCTTGCAAGGCCAGTCAGCCTCCCGCAGCCCGTCTGCTAACACAGCACCCTCCAAGCACACATTGGATCTGCTCCTCTGGCACACATGGACACAGCTGCAAACACTATGCATTCATTTCTAGGTACATGAATGCTGTCTAGCCTCATTATTTTTCCTTAGAAACATACAGTCAATTCACTAATGTATTCTAGCAGGGATAAAACCTTAAAAACTGAATGGAGAGGGCTGAAGTTGAAGGACCATCATCTTTTTTTTGAGTCTGACACACTACGGGATATCTGAAGACAGAGTTCTTAATCACAGATTGCAGTCACTGACACAACAGACCCATAACTGCAGCCAACAAATCCCCATTTCCAAGCTCACCTCTAGGCCACGGCATAGCTGCAAGCACAAGCCCAGGTTGGTCCCTGAGTGCTACCCACTGTGCTGAGAACAGTGAGGGCAGCATTCCTGGCAGCTGCACTCAGAGATGCTGAATTTTCACTAGCTCTGCACCTGCCCACCACTGCAGAGAAGATCTGGCCACCAGTATTTGCACAAAACTAAATGCCATAAGGACCCCTTTCTCCATGGCAAAGCTGAACTTGGTTTTCTCAGCACAGAACTCCAGTCACAGTGTGTGCTGCCAGTAACTCAGGAAGAAAGCTGCACTTCTGTAGGGGGGGAATTCCCCTGGAAACACCAAGGAACAGAACCTGGTGTTAATTGGCTCTCACAGCTCAAGTGCTCTAATGACCATCATAAAACTGAAGGGCTGCAAAGGACACCAGGTGAGGGCTGTTTGTACTGGAATGGAAAGCAGGTTAGTCACAGCACACCTGCCACCCCAAATCATGTCAGTTGTAGCTTCGTGTACCAACTTAGTTTAAATCTCAATGCAGAACTAAGAATGAATGCAAAAATTATTTTTTCTCTTTTGCAGAAATTGCTGTTACTTTTAAGCTACGTTCTCCATCTTCTTAATGTGGATGCAGAACTGGAGTTCAAAGACTGTTGACAGAATCTCAGTGGTTAAATAAAAGTGAAATGTACTTTCACAAATTATTTTTAAGTTATTCTTACCAAACACCGATGACAAGTTTTGTTTTATCCACACCAATTCAGTGTTATTGTGCTGTAATACATTGGGCAGCAAAAGCAGACACACAGGACTGTAGAATTCCTCTGCTCTGAACACAAGGAGAACTGTTAGTAATTTCTCTCTGCACAGTTAACCTGAACCACTTTCATTATAGCTCACACTGCTTATAAACAAGCTGGGCTTCGTGTCCTCAATTCTGCTTTTAGTGCCTCGGTGAAGGTTTTGACTTGAGTTAATACATTGCTGCATTTGCAGATGTAAATAAACAGAATGTGGTCTTGATCCCCAGGATCTGGACATGAGATCTGACCCAGATTTGAGAACAGAGAGCTATTCTTCAGAGGCTTTAAATCAGGAATACAGTTATTTACAAAGTACAAGCACTTAGAACATATTTAGTTTATGTTTTGAATATTGATGTGATAGTGGGGTTTTTTCCTTCTGTAGGCTTATTTATTACTACACAGACTTACAATTTTGCTTTTAAATTATTTATATACACATGGCTTAAAAGGAGAGTCCACCACTAAGGAGAACAATAACAAATTGTTCTGTTCGTGGGTGGTGAATTGCTCCTTGGCATCACTCATCCTTCTTTTGGATTTACAACATAATAACATTTTACTGTAGTTTTCTATTTAATAATTTGTTTTGTGTGAACGTTTATCAAAGTTTGACTTAAAGCAGTTCATCCAATTGAAAACAACCATTAATTAACCAACTGCCTTGTGTCACACATTAAAAATGGGATGATTCTTCTACTAGCTATATTTAACCAACGGCCAAAACATTTTCCAGCTGTTCACTATTTTTCTTCCCAGAATCTGAGCAGACCCTTGGTATTTCTTTCTGAGGTGGCGGCAAGATGCAGGGGCACATTTAATACAGAGCTGAAAGGACTGTTTTCCTTCAGCTGTGATGTAACACCTAAAATTTGACTGCCCACATAGGATGGAACTGGGACCCTGGTTGGTAGCATCACCAGACATTTCTTTGTACTGGCCAAGCAGGAACAGCCCATTTCCTCACACCAGCATTCAATTACATATCTCAAACCCAGCATTTCATTAAGAGGTCAGGGACCAAACTGACCATAAAGACTGATTTATTCTCTCCATCTGGAATCTTCAAACTGTGCTTGACAGAAATTCTTTGAGAAGCTGTCCCTACTGTCTTGCATCTGTGGAAGAAATAGGAGTTTTCTATGGGCTGTCAGTCAAGGCTGATTACAGGCATTACCTCCTAGGTACAGCACATTCTCTCACCGAC